GCTATTGATTCCACTTGAGTATAGTTCATCTGCTCTGGTGTTTAGCCACACTAGTGTCTTAGCCATGTCAGTGTCTTAGCCACACCATCAGGATATACATTTGTACAATAAGCAGAATCAATAGCAAATATTTAATGACTCAATGTCTTAGCCATGCCATTAGAATATACCTTTGTACAATTACATTCCAATGCTTTAATACCTGATAATTGGCTACAATATTACAGCTAAGACTTTGAGATAGAAAAGTGGTATTATAGGACAATTCCAAGCTTATATTTGCAAGGTCTTATGCCTTAGTGGTATAGTGCGCTGCGGTTACTTTCGGGCTGCAGGTTTGATTCCCGCTTGTGCTATTTTTTGGGCTTTTCGGAAATTCTTCTTTTTTTTTTATTTTTAAAATCCGCGGGTTTAGAGTGCATACAACGGGGCACATGAGCATCTATTTCGGAAATTCTTCAGCGTGTCTTAGCCGCTCTTGGGCGCTTCTGGGTGGCTAGTCCAGTGTAACTTAATAAGTTCCCGTGTCTGGGCCGCCGAACTGAATCAGCTCAACTATGGTTGTGGGATAATGATATCTTTCATACACCATCATGCGCAATTATCACCAGCGGCGTTTCATTGGATCGAAGGGTTTCTGGGATGGTGAGACAGCCTGTAGACGTAGACAGAAGGTGGCTTCACTGCGAGCGAGGGCTATGCTGAAGAAGGTCAGAACTTAGAGCGAACCTCTCTGAAATCAAGATGCAGTGGAAGGCAGTTCACATGATTGAGATCAGAAGGAGACGGAATATTCTGTATGTTTCTGGCCCGTGGGGGTGCCCAGTTCCAGCATGCATCACTTCGGGACTCGGTGGGAAAACACAGCGCTGCAATACAGTGCGTATCACACAGAGCTTTCGCGCCCATTACTCAGCTCGAGAACATTTGTTCGCCAGATCTGCATAAGAATGAGCGTGTTATAAAGGTCCTATGTGTCGAGAGAAAATGAAAGCAGTATGGAGTCCATTGCGACATGAAAAGGGCAAGTCCAACTCATGTCAAAATTACATAATCGCAATGACCTCATACTAATAGCGAGAGCGCTGGTCTATCGGATGCTCGATCCGTGACTCACCAAGGCACACACGATGCGCCACAGACGCATCGAGCCTTTGAGTGTCCGATAAGTTAGATGCGAGAAAGTTGCATTAAAGCCAAGAACAAGAGAGATACATCCAAGACAACGTGCACAAGTGATCAGAAACCGGTCGCCGCGACCTTGTTTGCAGACTTGATGAGGAGAGTCAAGGGAAGCGCTGTGGCACACGCAAAAGGTCAGATGCGGCGAGCTGGGACCCTGGGAGAGGACAGTGAGCTAACAAAGACTAGCAAAGAAGGACATAGACCTGAGACAAAAACTCAATCAGCGAGAATTCCAAACCTGCAAAAGGTGGGGGCCTACCGGAGGTTGCCGACAGCCTCAGTAGTCTGGTTGATGTAGATGAAGTTGTACAGGAGGTGCAGGCCGACGCTGGCAAAAGGTACGCCATCAAAATCGTCCACACCCAGAAAACGGTCACTGAGGGAAAGACAAAAGCACTCACTATCCGACGGCGAACGTGTTGAGCGCGCTGTGCGGGATGCCTGCAGTATACCCTGTGAGCTGAACAGAGTTTGCCATCACGTCAGATACGCCGCCCCCGGTTTCCATCGCTAGAATGACAAAGATTTACAACTGCGCCGACCCAAAGCAGGAGGTTCTCCATGCCGTTCTAACGCGCGAGCGAGGTTCGGGCCCATCGAGCTCGCGATCGAGCGCGACGCGGTCTTCACGACTGCCGTCGGGCACAACAGCAAGCGCATGCTTGCAGTCTGGCACGTCACGACACCCGAGGAGGTCGTCGACCACATGTTGCACCTCGTCGGGATCAACGATGGGGAGAAGAGCAACCTATAAGCTGTCGAGGGGACGTGAACGGACGGCGCTTGGGTGTGAGAGTAAGATAGAAGATCAGCGGGAGAGAATGGAAAGTTATGCGGCATATGTACCATTACACACACGTATTTTAGAATGTTTTTGCTAATATCCTTAGTTACTCTCTCTTTTCTGCGTATGCTGAGTTAGTTTTACGAATATTGAATAGCATAGTACTATAGCTGGTAAGGCCGGTAAGGGCGTGCGCTCTTTTGTGCCAAGTTGTTTTGCCGGATTCGTTGTTGCCCATGATTGCCATGCATGTGCGTGACTAAGAACGTTGTGCGGGATTGAGATACCTACGAGAGGTGTCGTGGCTGTGGCGCGGTGGTAAGTTCATCGGCACATTGGGCCGTCAAATATAATGCATTATAATGCACCGTCGGGCATTTATGATGCGTTATAATGCGATTTTTAGTGATTTTTGAGTTTATAATGCAAGATAACAGACCAGATCGCATTATATTGCATTTTAATGCAATATAATCTCCGTCCCTTTTTGCCGATGTTGGGCCCGTGAATGTCTGGTCCCGCTTGTACAATGTTCCCCCTTCCGGACCCCGCCCTTCCACCCGAGCGAAGACCCTCGAGCAGCTAGCCGGTATTAACCAATTGTTGTCGATTCTTCTTCTGGAATCGGACTCTGTTCATCCCGAGCAAGCAAAGTCGGACGAGCTATGAACATGTTACATTACAGCCACCGGCGCGGGCTGCGCATTCGTCGCTGCTCCCACGTATGCTGTGCACGCCAGTGCCTGCGGAGCGGCAAACGGGCGCCAATGTTTATTTGGCACGGTTCACCGCTTCACGCTTCACGCATTGTCTCCTACCACCACGTGCCGAGGTTTGGGTCCATAACCTGTGCACACTGGCTGCAGTTTCCTGAACGTCATCTATCGCACTCCCACACCTTGGCTGCGAGACCTTCTCTTCCCTGCATAACCTAGATTGTAATTATTCCCGAATAGGCTCTGGTAGGCTCTGGCCAAATGTCTGGATAAGAAGATTTGGTCGCCCCATTTAACCTCCCGCAGACTGGTTGCCTCCTTGTAAAGAAACTTGCCAAGGAGTTCTGTAGCAGCTGGACAAGAGCCAAGGTCCCTTTCAATTCCCCGACTATAGGTTATTCGGCCATGCCTAAGCTTCGGAACCTACGGCAGGGGTTTGTCTCCCCAGACGTCCGTCAATGTGCACATCTGACAGTTACACAATCCACGCAGAAGAACGCACAGCCCAGTACGAGGTGGGCTCTATGCACGGAACGCTGGTTATTGCATAACGGCCATGGCCACAGTACAATTAGCACCGCCTCAGGTAAGGCGAACTTAAACAAGACAAGTTTCTCCGATTAATCACTTCATGAAGCGCTGATGCTAATCATATATAAGCCAAGTATTTGGGCCCCAGGGCTAGTCCCCTTAGATCTTATGAGCTCCGAAACATGGACACCACTCATCGAACCCAGATCGGTAATCACATAGGTCTGCATATGGAGCCCGACAACGAAGAAGCTCCGGAAGGATCCACTGTTTGATGCACTAGCGACTAACGCGCAATAGTCATTAACGGCGTTACGGGCTTTCATGACAGAGATAGGAAAGTCTGTTATCTCTGGCTCGGATACCATCACTTCTACATCTCCATGGCACTATCTGGACGGCAACATTGTATGTATTCCTTCTTCAAGTGCTTTTCTGTGTACTGACTACTGAGCCAGCGCGACAAGCTTCGCCAGTCTTTGTTGAATTTCATGGAATACAAGCTGCCCGACATCGATGATCTATCTGTGCTCGAGCTACACTCAGCAGCAATAACCGGAGCAAGCGATTTACTTGAATCACTTCATCCGTACACCTGGGACTAAGAGAGCTGGAGAGTGTAGCAGAGAAATTCTGGTGAAGTTGTTCGGTCAGTAGCAGTGAACTTGGTCCCTTGTCCAAGGAAACGTGACCAAGTTCGTGGCCTGTCTGATCTTTTCTATCATATTGAGCTCGAGGGGTAGGTCAAATTGATCTTTCTCTTGAGCTCCCGTTCCTGAATAGGATACGACGAATGATCGTAAAATATGTTCTCAGTACCAACAGTCTCTATTGGCGATCAGCGCGAGACATTGCAATCTCTTGTTATACTTGCTATCCTTGAGTCACATGTCACTTCGAAGTTGTACGACATGACCGCTAAATAAATAGCATGA